CTACAAAATAATGACTGACATACTTGACAGAAGTACCAGTACAAAAGTACATATAATAAAACAACATGGCAAACATAAACCCTGGATAACGAACGGGATAATATCAAGTATTAAGATAAGGGACAAAATGAAAAAGAAACTTCTGATGAATGTTGATGAAATGAATAGCAGGATGTATAAGATCTATAGAAATAATCTCCAGAAAATAATCCAAAAACGAAAGCATGAATATTACCAACAAGAAATCAGAAACGCAGGAAACAACTTAAGAAAAGTTTATAATTTAATATCTGAAGCGACAAACGGAAATAAACAGCAAAATAAAAACAAATCTATACCACCTATAACGGACAATAATGCCATATCATTCTCCAATGAAAAAAATATGGCAAATTTTTGTAATAACTATTTTATTGAAATTGGAATTAATATGTCAAATAAAATACAAAAACCAGTAAACGAACAAAAAATAAACTCAGATATTTTGCACTCTTTATTTCTGAAGCCTGTCGATGCTAACGAAATAATAAAACATATAAGTCAAATAAAAAACAACAGTGCCCCTGGAATGGACAAAATCGATGCTAAACTTATAAAGAAAACTCATGAATATTTAACCAAACCCTTAGTACATATAATTAACTTGATTTTCAGTAGTGGTAGAGTTCCTGATCAATTTAAAATTTCAATTGTGACTCCAATTTTTAAATCAGGAGACAAGTCAAACAAAAGTAACTATAGGCCCATTAGTGTAATAAATAATTTCTCAAAAATTTTTGAGAAATGTGTTAAAGACAGACTACTTAATTTTTTTCAAATAAACAATATCCTTTCAAAGAGACAGTATGGATTTTTGAGTGGTTCTGGGACCTCTGATGCGCTCCATGAACTTACCAAACAAATAACAGAGAACTTGGATAGGAGTGAGAAGTGTATCGCAGTGTTTCTGGACCTGGCGAAGGCATTTGACACGGTGCCCCATAACCTGCTCCTAGACGTGCTGTTTGGATATGGTATTAGGGGCACCGTGCTGAGTGTCTTCGAGAGCTACCTGAGTCAAAGGAAACAGTATCTGAAGATCGGAGACACAATTAGTGATCCTTTAAGGGTTAAAATAGGAGTACCCCAAGGAACCGTTTTGGGTCCAATACTCTTTATCACATTCATAAACGCTTTGACGGACCTACTGATTGATAATGGCTCCCTGATTTCATACGCAGACGATACAGCAGCAGTATTCTCAGCTAAGACATGGCACAATGTAAAAGAAAAAACAATGGCTGGGCTATCCAAGGTAAAAGACTGGCTTGACAATTTTAAATTGACGCTTAACGTGCAAAAAACAAATTAGATAGCATTCTCTCCTACTGAAGCCGATCGTCCTGATTTTACTTATATACGTATTGAAAATTTTGATGACAATATTAGAGAAACATCATACACAAAATATCTTGGCATTGTTATTGACAAACATTTGAAATGGGATCATCATGTTCTTTACCTTACAAATAATTTAAGGAAATTAATTCACAAATTTTATGTGCTAAGAGAAATTTTAAACAAACAACTTTTAACTTCAGTTTATAAAGCCATTGTTGAATCAATAATACGTTATGGTATAGTTGTGTGGGGTGGTCTATATCGGAATTCTCTAAAACAGTTAAACACTGTTCAGAACTATATTCTCAAAGTTATAAACAAGAAAGGTAGAAGATATTCAACTGCACAACTGTATACTCATGAAATATTGAATGTCAGGACATTATACATGTTAGATATTTGTTCCTTTATCCATAAAAATGAAAACTTAAAATGTGTGATCATATATATGAAACGCGAAACAGGGTGAACAAACACATCCAAATACCGATAAGCAAAAAAAATGTTAATCTTAGATTTGTCAATTATTTAGCACCCAAAATTTATAATATTATTCCCCTAGAAATAAAGACGATTGAAAAAAATAGTCTATTTCGAAAAAAATGTAGAATGTTTATTGTTGAAAATTTAGAACTGTTTAGAATATTTTTTTGAATATTGTATATTAGCATCTGAGGCATGTATCACTAGTTGGTAATCATTTGCTTGAAATTATCTAGTAGTTTTTATACGTTTTCACCGGCACATACAGATGTTAGGTCATCTAGGTGCCGTTTTGAACAATTAAAAAATATGTATTATTTTGAAACCCATGTAAAATTTTTATAAGTGAATAAATAAACATTATTATTATTATTATTATTATTATTACTACCTATATTCAATACTGAAGAGTTTTTGGTTAGTTAGCCAGTTTCCCATCAGGTACTGAGGTCCCATACGGGAAGCTACTCAGCTATAGTTGTTTTTAATCCAATATCTCTAGATTGATTATTTCAATTTGCTAGGATATTCTCTCGTCAGGGTAGGAAAATGTTAGTAAATTCAACAAGGCCTTAACGTACGCTCTAAACCCACAAAATCAAAATCTCAACACAAAAGGACAGCACATAATTTCTTGGGTTCTAATTTACTTCTTTATCCTTGTTGTTTACAGCATGAAACAATTTTTGTTAAATATATGAACAATGCATATGTTATAAAAAAATGTTATAAACAATCAAAAAAAACATAAAAATGAAAAAAAGATACTTGTATAAATAATTGAACTCTCAAAAACAAAATAACAATTATTCAACTAACCTGTGATCTCTCCTTGACACACGCACTAATAACAAATTGAATTGAACAATCAATTTAATACAAAATAAATATAAAAATTGAATAATGAATAATTACAGACACGCGACACGCGTCCAAAGGGACCAGTCCCAGCTTGTTCTCTCGTCTAATACCTAATCGCCTCTTCTCTCTCTCCCGTTCGGTTCGGTATCCTTTCAGTACGCTTCACGGCACATACAAGGTTTCAACATTTATTTTTTTTATTTTTTTATTTGTATTATTCCTGTACAGTAAACTGTTATCTCTTCTCGGACGCGATGGAATCTGTTGAGTTAGCAGCATCGGCAGTACCGACTAAAACCAGGCCAGTCGTTAACCTTCAGCAAATGCGGACTTAACAGAAAAATACTAATTGTAATAAATGACTGTAATTATTTCAATAAAATTAGTATCTAACAAACCATTGTTGTACTCAATGCAAACTCAATTACCCCTCGCAGTATCACTTCATGTCTGGATTTAGTCATCAACGCTCAACAGACAACTGTGAAGAGCTGCAATATTCCTCCAATTCTGACAAATCTTTGGGAAGTTTCTTTGCTTCTGGTTTCTTGATCCTACTTTCTGCTTTAATAGTAACTATCTCTACCTTAGCTTTGGACAATTTACTCTTACATATTTCATAGATGCCAATTGAAACACTAATAATTTGGATTATGTATGTATCATGTAATTTTAGTTCTGCATATAACATTTTACTGTTATTTTCAAAACTTGTTATTTCTCAAATTGTTTTTATCTTAAACTTTCTTGCTTTCTCTATCTGGCTATGCATGTGGATACTATTCTAATAAATAAATGCTGATCTATTTTTGGACCCATAATCTAATAAAATTATGTAGATCCAGATCTGGACCTAACTTAATCGCTAAATTTTCAAAGAAACCAGTCGTTATTCACTTATGATAAAGACTATTTCCAAATAAATTGCTACTTTTTTTGGCCCCGAATTGATGTATCTTACCAGTAAATAACCACCATGCTTTTCTTGGGATTCTATACGTCTTTTTTTGCGTTTAGCAGTTTAACCTAAGAGAATATTTTAGCAATTTCCAAAGGCTATAAAAACAAATAAACCAATAAAAAACATATCCTCATACATTTTTGTTTTATTGTAGCGCGAAATAGCCGGAATATTTTTCTGTTCTGGAATTACTTTTTTATTCGGATTGCTCCCATTTCCATTATCAAGTGTACTCGATCATAAGGAATAAAAAGGACATTTCCTTCCTCTATTCTATATTAAACGAAAATTAAACCATTCCTAAAAATAGAAGGCAATTATTCCAACCTTGTATTAATTTTGAATAAGAATTGAATTTCAATAGTGGTAAAAATTACAAGTTCATGAAATATAATATCTAGTATAAACAGAATTTGCTCAATAAACAATTATTATTATTGTAGGTCCCTAGTAGCTTCCGATGCAATTAAAATAGTTGGGAGAAGCAACTAGAATTCGAAAGTTATATGCATTATATACGGCGCGTATTTAGACGGCACACTTGGGAAAGAACTTAGCTAATCCCACAAATCTCTCAAGTTGAATTAACTTGCAGTGACTAACTGTTGCAAGTTTTCGGGCTGGTATGAATCAACTTAAATTTGAATTATACTTTTGACGCGTTACTGGGAATATGTAATATGACTTGAAAAGTTAGTTTGGAACGATTTCATTTGCGTTGCAGTTGTGATTTAAATAAAAGACTGTCTGGAAATTTGTTGCAATATGAATATGGATAGAATTTTTTTCAAAAACCTAATTTATAAATAACAAAAACAATCCCTAAAATATCTGGAGGACCCATTTTACATATTCGTTTATTTTCTAAATAGAACGATTTAACCCAATCGTTTTGCATTCGGAAACAACAGTATTCCAGGCCAAACCCTAAAAAGTTATTGCTTCCTGTTGGCCAGAAAACTACCAATAAATTTAAATAGAAGAATTGAACGGCAGTATTTTCTAGTTTATTTAAAAGGAAACGGAAATAGTGACATAAATTTGGCTAATACTATTCATTATAAAATACTAAGACTAAGAAATTTCAATCATTTCCTAATGATCTAAGGAATAAAATGAAAAAAGCAAGAAATCACAAATGTCATTGCCCTAAGTCCATTACTTAGTTAAGACTCAATTTGTCAAATTAGTATTCACGCCTTGGTTTGTGTTTCCATTTATTTTAAAGCCCACCCGTATTAAATTTAATAAGACGTTATTAATGGCCCAAGAATGTTTTTTATAAATGCTATCTGTAACTATTGAATTAATTTTGTTTTTAACTTGAATTATATTTTTTCCAGAATGGAGGCGCCAAAGATGGCCTAGACATGAACGTCGCCGCGACATGGCAGAAAGGATACACCGGAAAAGGAGTAGTCATATCGATACTGGATGATGGTATCCAAACGAACCATCCAGATTTGGCCCAAAATTACGTAAGTATTTTATTTTCTTCAATGACCTTCGGTAATAACTCGAAAGCTTTAGCACGAATGCTTAACTTATAGCTCTAAGAAGATTCTTGTCTTATTGACCTCGTTTCACATGAGACCAAAAGCTATAACCACGAAAGTTTAAATAGGTCAGTGTTAAGTTTTAATACGAGCATGGATGGAAAATGAAAAAAGTCACGTAATCACTTTTAAGTATAAAGTGCGACGTCAAAAATTCACTCTGCTATAGTAACCTAGATTTTAAAAATGCCCACTTTAAGCTTCTTAAAAATTCAATTTAATAACCGTTATATAATTATCCGTTCAACTTTTAGACAAACTTATTACTCCGCTAAATAAACCGTGGAATATATTGTCTTATCTTATTAACCTCACATTGAATTTGGCCTATTCAAGTCAGATTCTGTTAAATACGGCTCACAATGGGGTCGGTTGCGGCTGATGGGTATTATACGCCTTAAAATTTAATTCGCTATTGTTAGAAACGACTGTCAATATGTACTCAAGGACAGAAGGAATTTGCGAATTCAAATAAAATTGAAATTCTGACATTTTATTTTTTTAAACGATCCACAAAAAGTGCTTTCCGAATAAAACATGCGATTTTTTCCGCAAAGGGTTTTTTGTCCGGCCGTGAGCGTACAAAATAGTACTTTTTTGTACGCTCACGGAACGCGCGGACAAAAAAGTAACCAATAAATGACGTCTGTGAAGTCAAACTTCAACATTAAGAATTGAGGTTAAAAAAGTCGTCATTTTTTGACGTTTGCGGAAAATAAATATTTTCTTAAAAACTGCTAAGACCGATTCATAACATATTATCTTATGATACACACATCATTAACTCGATTCTGCACAGCTGCAGTCCAATTGGTGTTGATCCTTTTCAACTCATTTGTCCTAGCAGGTAGTCTTCGGGATTTCGTCATCTGTTTTGTCGTAAGCAGCCCATATCCACTTCAATATTGAGATCCTTTCTATTATGTCTTTTCTTTGTCCTGCGGATCTCCTCATTCCTACTGTCACTGAGTGATATCACCAGCATCAATCTTTCCGTTTGTCTCTACGTGACACTCAATTTTCAGTGTATAGTTTATACTCAATCCAACCGCCTTCATTGCGTTCTGAATTTGTTGAAGCATATTTCGTTTCATTCCTATTTTTTGTGCAGCTCTATAGTTGTTGTTGAGTGTTTATAGTTATCGTATATAGCTTGAGCATACCCGTGGTCTATCGCGCATTCGTTGGGAGCTTGGAGGATGGAACACATTTCCACTGTGTAAATTCCTGTATTGGAATTTAGGAGGATGCTCACTTGGTAGTTTGTTGTTTGTGGTTTGTGAGTTGGGTTAGTATACCCGGGAAGTTTGGTAACTCAGGAATAAGAACCACTGTTGAATTGATACTGAGTTTCATTAAACAATTAACAGCTATTTATGTACAAAAAATGCAACTTTGACAAACGTCATAAACAATGGTAAATTTTAAATTAAGACATTCTGGGCATTCTATTGCCATATCATCAGTGTTCACTGCTATCATGGGGCAATACTGGTTCGAGGACAATAGCTTTTGTGGGTGGCTAGGCAGCTCTAATTGTATTCAATAGAATTTCTGCCGCATCTCTGTTTCTTCTTGTATTGCAGCCGTTAGTCTGTCGTCCTTTGTAGAACCCCAATAGCACTATAAGTATGATAACAAGAATTATAGTAAATAATGTAGCACTGAGGCTCGTGACTAGGAGGTGCTTTTTCACTGTTACCCATTGCGTAGTTTTAAGTTGTTGTTTGATGTTTATTTCTTCATTCCTGAATTCATTGAGCTTGTTGGATGCATCAATAACAGGTGCGTCAATTCCCTTTCATGCATTACTGGGAATAATGATATATTTTGTAGCATGGGTTTGTAGATTGCCTCTAGACAGTCACAGTATCTGACTTTTTAGGATTAAGGATGTTTTTTTTAGTTTTAATGGAGCAATTTGAAGCTATTTCTATAATAGCTGTTTTATTTAGTGCCACATCGTCCCGGGTTCCATCGCAAATAATGGCAATTTTTGTTTTTTCAGGCGTAATTGCTAACCAGGAGTTTGGAGTGTGTAGCTGCTTCCATATTATTGATGCTATGGATCGCTGTAGGATTTTGCACGAAGTATTTTCTTCTCTTTGATATATTTAGAGTCTATTATGCTATTAGGACTCGTCTTTATGCCTCTTGTAGTGGTTGGTGAACATACGAAAACATTTTCTGCAATGTTCAGACTGTTGCTCAACTCATCTTCAGATATTTGTAAGTATAGCTGTGAATCATAATCTATTACTAATATGTCGTTCGAAATATCCAGGATCCGGTATGACTCTTTTTCTGTTTTTAATGGAATTGGAGTCGATATGATTAGCATAAATTTGTTATGTTTTATCATCACAAAATATCCATAGACGTGGATAAATTCTTCACTCTATTGCACTTTGGTCTGGAGCACAGGATAAGATATTATCTCGATATTGGACGGAATCTTTTTTGATGCAGATGCTATTTTCTCTTCAACGTGGGTCGGAGATATTAGATCATATAGGTGGTCTTTATGGTAGTGAATATCTAACAGTCGTCTATAATAGTCCAGAAGTTCATCTATGTAATTGGAGACAACTTGATATGAACTGAGAACGTGAATTATTAGTCTATTTGCATCCACCATATTTTCATTTCATTTATCGAAGCAATGCATTCATTGATTTTTTCCCGGAATCTCTGGTGTTGATTGTTGATTCTGGATTCGGTGTCATTGAAAGTGGATAGAGCATGTAGCATGAATTTGGTTTGGTGGTTGGATGCCTTAAAATGCTCCTTCTGGTTTTTGTCTATTTTGTAAATATTCATGTAGATCTCATCGTTTACTTCGAATACTGCGGTTAAGAGTTTTTCCCAAAATTCTTTTTTAACGTTTGGATTCCATAATTTGTAGTCCATTTTGTATCCAATAAAATTGTGTTTCCTTTTGTTTTAAATGATGAATCAGTGACATGCATTGTGTGTTCATTTCCATTGAGTTTACTTGCTGACAGAGGTCATATTAATAAATTGCATCTTGAACGTTCATATTATCATTTATTATTTTGTTTTTCTCATATTTAAGGTCAACTCTGAAAGTGCCCCTGTCTATTTGTGCATGTCCTATGTGCTCAATGTACAGTCCTGGTTGAGGATGTATCGATGTATCGAGTATTGATTTGCTTTGGATCCTTGGAGCATCACAATAATAGAACGGTGATCAATATCTTTTTCCAGTGCTTGGTCTCGGGCTTTGTTTGTTATTGTTGTGGACTGGCTGTTGACAGTATTGGAATTAAGTGATGCGTAGATCTCTTGATCGGGCCGGGCCTTCTTCTGCTCTTTATAGTGACCACTCTTACAAATATGTCTTTACCTGGATGCACTTTAGTGATTCTTGCTAGTGGCGATCTGCTTGGGTTGATATTCTGATCCTTTACTAGAACTAAATCTCCAATTTTGAGTGAATCCTGGTGTCCAGCTCTTCCAGAAATATTTCCTAATTTTCTGAACTAGTTTCCATCTTCCAACAACGTCCGAGTTTATGTTTGTAGTTATTGGATTGGGAAAAGATATAATTTCTCTTCCAATTAGAAAATGACCTGGAGTTAATGTTGCTAAATGATCTGGATCATCTGATAATGGACACAGTGGTCGAGAGTTAAGGCGAGCTTCTATTTGGTGAATTGATGTAGTAATTTCTTCATAAGTAAGGTGTATCGCCAATTATTCGTTGTAAATCCTACTTCATAGACTTGACGCCAGCTTCTCATAATCCTCCAAAGTGAGGAGAAGCTGGGGGAATGAAGTGCCATTGGGTTCCACCTGCAACTAAGGTATCTTGGATATCTGATTTCTGTATTGTATTGTAAATTTCATCATGTAGTATGTTACTGGCTCCTATTAAGTTGGTGCCATTGTCACTAGAGAGATGCGCACATCTTCCTCGTCTGGAAATAAATCGTCGGAAAGCTGCCAGGAACGTGTATGATGACATATCACTGACAACTTCTATATGAATTGCCTTTGTAGCAAGACAGACAAAGATTGAAATATACCCTTTATAGGATTTGTAACCTCTGTCCTTTGTAGTTTTGATTTGGATAGGTCCTGCGTAGTCGACACCAGGATGCAGGAAAGGCTGAGACGATGTAATTCTAGGAACTGGAAGCTTTCCCATCTGTTGCTGGATTGTTTGAGCCTTGAATCGCAGGCATCTTACACAGTTGCTAAAAATCGTCTTTATTCGGCGTTTTCCATATATTCCATAAAAGACCTCTTGTATATGATAGCGTCAGCTTATTACTTCCATGTAGTGTATTGGCGTAAGCGTTCAATATCACTAGATTTGTCAGGTGACTCACATAACATGGTAAAATAATTGGATGTTTGCTATAGTAACGTAACATTGAGTTTCGTAATCTTCCCCCAACTCGTAAAACTCCTTTATCGTCCAGACATGGAGTAAGATTGAGAATTTTGTTATTACTTTGTAGCTGAGACTCTTTTTTCAGCTTTTGTATTTCTGCTTTAAAATGTTGGATCTGATCAATCTTGGCTAGGTGTGTTAGGGTGTCTTTCATTTCATCAACTGTGAGTAGAGTGTGAGGATTTGTGTCTCCTGCAATTTTGAATAAATCGTCTGCAGTAGGATACAACTCGAATCATGTGGTTCAATAAAGAAAATCGCTCTATAATTTCATTTTTGGTTTCATTGCTTTGAGTTGCAATTTTAACATGGTGACACGTTCTGGCCTCCTCTGTGGTGACTGATATCTGGTCCGTTGGCGTTACGGTAATCGATTTCAACCACGATGGACCAATCCACCATGTAATGAATTCAATCTTGTCGAATTTCAAAACAAAATTACTCCTGGTCAGTCCTGGTTATCCTCAACATAATAGGCGCTTTCTCATTAGCTGATAGGGTT